CTGAGTGTTGTCAATTAGCACCGTGGTTTCCACATCACGTTTACTCTTTCCTTACCCAGGCGTTCACCCGCGCTGTATAGCAACTGGTTATCCCCTGTTCTAATCCTACCAGTCTCGTGAACGGGTATATATATATATATATATATATATATATATATATATATATATAATACACAATTTGTGGTACGGATATTGTGCCATCGGAATCATGGCTAAATAGGAAGATGGTATGAATAATAAGAAAGAGCAACAACAAAAGCTTTTTTTCTAGTTTACCACTCACAGTTTTTGAAATTTTTTTACCGCAACACACCTATGCACTCGTCCGCCGTTGACATCGATCTTGAGCCACGGCTTCCAAGGTCTTCAGCTAGCAAGTATCCGCATCTCTCGGACCCCAACCATGTAGTCGACAACAACCGGCCGAGGCCAACTGTTTCGTCAGCTTTTTCATACGGCTTCTCCATGTTGTAGGCTGTCCACCAGACCGTCTCTTCCAGCCCTGTCCAGCAACCGCAAAAAACGCACGACGCGGGTAACGCTGGACAGGCATGCGCAATACGTGTCCCAACCACCGCAGTTGATGCAGTGAGACGAGCTCCTCGAGCGAGTGGCTTCCACGTCCCAAGACGCGCTGTCTAACTTCCACATTGCTTACGTGGTACTGCCACCACACACGGGCAACGGACCGCAGACAGCGGTGCTCGAAGACGGATAGCCTGCGCAAGTCACCTTTACGAATGGGCCAGGTCTCGCATCCGTACTACAGTACAGCCCGAACAGTTGCACAATAGCTCCGCCTTTTGATGAACAGACGGATGTCGTGGGGACGCCACAAGTGCCTCAGCCTAGAAAAAGCGAGGCGTGCTCTTGAGATGCGCATCAAAATCTCGTCCCCAACAGCCCGCCGGCACTGATGCAACTTCCGAAGTAGACAAAGCTCTCCACCACCTTTAGTGTTTCACCACCAAGAGTGAGTGCAGGCAGAGGCACCTGCCAGTCTTGGAAGAGAGCCTTGCGTTTGATGGCGAAAAGCGCATTCCAAACTTATATGCTTCAATCGCCAAGAGGTTTAGTGCAAGTTGGACGGCGTGTGAATCGTCACCTAGCAAGACAATATCATCAGCATAATCCAAATCAACAACTCGACTACCTAAGAGGAGCTCAACGCCAGCGTTCAAGGAATCGCCCAGCGCATTGTTTAGGACATCCTCAATGGCAAAGTTGAATAGGAACGGAGAGAAATGGCATCCTTGTCGAACTCCACTGGAGACAACAAAGGTAGGCGAAAGCTTGCCATAAGCCCTAACCCTGCTCGAAGTCAGACCATAGAGGGCGCGCAGTATGGAGACGAACTTCTCGAGGACACCATTCCTCAGTAGGCACTGACACAGTACCGTACGATCGACAGGATCGAAGGCTACACGGATATCCAGGCGCACAGCAATCGTTGGCCTCTGATACACATGGCGGAGTGTGAAGATTTGATCGATACAGCCGCGACCAGGATGAAGCCCAGCTTGTTCTTCTCGTTGCAACGATTCGCGCGTTGGGGATAGCCTGCCAAGTATGATGGACACCAGCAGCTTGCAAACGACAGGGACTAAACCTATGCCTCTGTAGTTGGAGCAGATTGTGCGCAAGCCCTTTTTGAAGATGGGGACAACTATGGATTCACTCCAAGATGATGGAACTTTCTCTTTCGCCCAAATTTTCGAGAAAAAGGTGGTGAGTTATCGAACCAGCGAAGCGCCACCATCTTTAAATAGAGCTGGAGGAAGACCATCAGTGCCGGGAGCTTTATAGCGCTTCATGTGCCGGAGCTCCTGCTCGATTTCCTGGGAAGAGGGAATGTCTGTTGAGGTAGACCACTCGGCCCCAGCGCGAGCGCCAGAGGTAGCAGATGAAGTTGGGGTCCAACAAAACTGGAAGCCAAAATGTTCGACCCATCGGTCCAACCGTCGTTGAAGATTGGTGATTAAGGTGCCATCCTCATCGCATATTGTTTCACTTATACCAGATCGAACATCTTAGGTGACTCGAATGAGATGGAAAAGTTTTCTGGTATTACCAGAGAGGCTAGCAAGCTCCATCTCCCTAGCACATTCACACCACCAAGCTTCGCGGTCCATTTGCAGGCTCCTACGCAACTCTCGACCAAGGGATTGGCGTTCGTCACTGTGTCTGAAATCCGATAGCATCAACCGGCGTTTGTCCATCAGCGACAAGGAGTCGGCGGAAATCCAATGTTTTGGTGGGTGACGGGTAACTCCACAAGTGTCGATACTGGCAGAAACTAAGGCATCTTTGATATGCGCCCACTGCGAACCGAGATTACCGTCAATAGTTGAGCCAAGCAAGGTTGACAGTGAGGCTTGGTACCTGGTTAAAATCGCAGGGTTTCGTAGATTTGCGACGTCCGGTCGGTAGAGAGCGCGCTTAGGTGATCCTCCGAAACGCATGCAAATCTTAGCACGCACCAATGCGTGATTGGAGTCTAGATAAGTTGACCAGTACGATCGGTAGTCCGTTACGCTTTCGCGTCATCTGTAGCTGATTGCTATATGGTCAAGCTGGGAGCACTCTTGCGTATGTGAGGGCGGGCGCCAGATAGCAGTGTGTTTCCTCGAGTGCCGAAAACTAATGCTCGAAACATACAAGCGATGATCAGAACAAAGAGAAAGCAGTCTGTCTCCATTCTCTGATCGATTGCTACCGAGACCAAAACTACCCCCAAGATGATGTTCGTTTGGTGGAAGGCAGCCAACCCGTGCGTCAAAGTCCCCGGCAAGAATGACTATATCAGTTCGTTTGGAGGAACGCAGAAGTTCATTCAGCTGCTGGTACAAGCTATCTTTAACTGCATCCGGGCTGCAGTCTGTAGGGGCGTAGGCGGAGACGACAAACAAGGCATGCTTAACGTCTCGACGCCTGCTTACGTTACATGAACCTCGTAGTCTGACTGCACATAGCCGACTGTTGACTGGGATCCAGTCAAGCAGAGCTGATTCAGCCCTGGCATTCAGTGCAACCCCAACACCAGCTTGGCCAGTGGCGGCAGCTTCTGGGTCTCCGGAAAGCCGCAATTGGTATTTGGCGTCAGGGTTTACCGGTGAAGCTATTCTGATGACGGTGCTAGAGTCTTGTAATCTGGTCTCTGAAAGGCAACAGATGTCTACCGAAAGCGTTTCAAGAGTACGGGCCAGACATGCTTGTCGTCCGATCTGCATCAAAGTTCGAACATTAAACGCTGCGAGGATGAATGGAGAACCAGGTCGAAGAAGAGCTGGAGCTTCTGTGGGGTGAGAGGCGGTTGCGATCGCAGGCTATTGAAAACTGGGAGTTTAGCTGTTGCTTCCCTCAGTTGCGAGACGCGGGTCGTTTGTGACGGTAACCGTAGAAGATATAAGAGAACTCATATGTGAAGGACAGGAGGTGGGGTGATCTGTGAATGGAGGTTGAGCGGTTGAGTTAGCATAGAAGTTAGGCATAGCAGGAGCAGTAGTAAGCAGTGTGGTCCATGATTCGTCAGTGGGCGTGATACTACCCGGTTGCCCAGGCCGAAGTAGAGGGTTGTCTTAGGGGGGCCCTACCCCGAGCCTATGGTCAAAGATCTAACTTACAAGGCAGCAGGGCCATGTGAGGGCGTCGCAACCCGTTGGGAGCCGGTGACCAAATAGATGGTTCATACGCCTTTCGGTCTGCGAAGGACCAGGGGCCCAACACACCCTTGAAGTATAATGCCTCTCAGGGAGGAGCAAGGGGGCAGTGACTTTATTTAGTGGCGAGTCACATCCGCCACGTCGCAGTGTTGTTAAACAGACATTTGTGGCTTTTTATAGGGAGAACGCTTGCCAGGCGAAAACCCACCACGTCCTGGAACACTGTCGCCGAATCATTTGCTGGAATGGGATTGTCCCGAACCACCCAGCTGGCACCACGAAGAGGTTGTTCGGCAAGCTAGCGTTCAACGAATCGCCCAGAGCGTTCTTCAAGACATCCTTAATGGCATAGTTGAATAGGAACGGAGACATAGGGCATCCTTGTGGAACTCCACTGGAGACCGAAAACGTAGGCGAAAGCTTGCCCTAAGCCCTAAACCTGCCCGAGGTCAGGCTATAGAGGGCGCGCAGTATGGAGACGAACTTCTCGGGGACACCATTCCTCAGCATGCAGTGCCTCACAGTAGATTGCTTCCTTTGGACACCATCGAATCAGTCGGCAACACTCAGATTCCTCATGATTCCATTTGTCATGTGGTTCTCTTCACTTTATTGCAATTCATATCACCGTTTTCCATTGAATTAAAAATACGTGGGCCAACTTCCTCGCATCATTTAAAACACGAGTGGTTTTAATGGAGCTCATAGTGGCAACATGTACTTTGAGAGGCACTGTGCGGCTGATTTGTTTTGTCGGCATCACGCACTTCCTTAGTCAAGACCGAAAGAGTTATCTTCATCCTACGTGGCGTGAGTGTATGGCGGCAACCAACGTGGCCAAGCAGTTGGTTTTGGCATTGTTTTTATACTTACATACAAAGTGTTTGACCAACCTTCCACTACACACTAAGCCGCCAACCAACTTATCCTCATAATCCTGTTTGGGTTACTTTACTGTCTTTGAGCATGGCATAAAATTTTACTCTACGCCTCGATTACCCCACGCATCTGGTGTTTACGTTATGCGCCCACATTACATTAGCTGCACTGTTGACTTGTTTAACTATGCTTCTCCTCCTACCCATAAGGTCATCGGTCCTCCTTCATTCACACGTCAATTTTCTACTTGTAAGTGCCTTATTTCTGGGACATCTCACCGTCGAACCAGCAGGTTATTGTTGGTATACTTTTCTTGGAGCACTCACTAAGCGTATACTTGATCGGCCTCATTTGACATCTATCCTACATTCTTGAGACCACGTTACGTTAAAAAAATACGCTTTTGTCACCTTATCTCGCTTCTACTTTATTTCATCTTTTTACGTCACCTCAACTTAGGCACCGGGACTGGTGGCGAATCTATTTGGGGTGGCGAGTTCGAGGATGAATTCCATCCAAGCCTTCGCCACGACCGCCCTTACACTGTCAGTATGGCAAATGCAGGACCCAACACCAACGGCTCCCAATTTTTCATCACTGTGGCTCCCACTGTAAGTTGAGGATTACACGAAAACACTAGTGAAATCTGATTCCAACTATGATTCACCTGCACTGTATTCGCGCACTGTTTTCTTGTTCACAGCCATGGTTGGACAACAAACACACAGTGTTTGGCCGAGTGATCAAAGGCATGGAGGTGGTCCAGAAGATATCCAACATCAAAACGCATGGGAAGAGCGACAAACCCATAGAGGATGTGAACATCATCAGCGTGACCATCAGGGACTTGGGGGCTGGCATTTGATGGACTCCACATATTCTGGCCAACCTATTGTATTTTTACGCCATACTCTGATGTATTTGTACAGCAATACCGGATTATTTCTACCGTTGCATCAAATATGTATATTTCCCCATTTTCGTGGCGCTTTCGAACTACATTATCTCTGATCATCGTGACGAGACTGCTCCCCCACCTGGTGAAACGGTTTGTGTACCTCCGTGATCCATTGAGCTACGCTGGGTGGCACTATCCAAGTGCCTTCAGAGCAACTCATACCAGACAGGTCAAAGTTATGGGTCAGGCTTACGCAGTCTCACAATCCTCTTCGGAGGTTGGGGTGAGGTTGATGACCCTCTTCCCTTAAATCCTAGCCATGGGAGACAGCAGGTTTACAGGTCGTAAGCTCACAGCTCGATTGGAGTAGAGCACGGGCGCCATACACTGTTTCTGGCCGTAAGAGGGCACCGCCCGGTGCTCAATGCTTTGTTACCGCCCGTCTCAAATCAGGCAGCCCCCAGTCAAATCGTTACAAACCCGTTAACTCCCACCTGCGGCTGACTGGTCGCGGGTACTTAACATGCTACGGTCCTAAAAACACGCGTGTATTGTTCCAAATCGTCAGAAGCTGTGTGGCTGACCTCAAGGAAATCACACCCCCTAACTGGATTTGATCCCCACTACCTCGTGCATCAGACTATTGACCCAAAGGTTCCGGGTCAAGTCAACATAAGCTTTATGTACTCAAATGAGTGCATTTTCATCATTTTACATTACCATCTGTGAATGTACCGAACGGGTATCATGAAAAATGCTAACTTTACAAATAGGTAGAATGATGAGAAGGATGCACTATCATAACTAGACCGAGCAACGATCCCATAGTCTTGTAATAAATCTTCAGGCTTTGTAGCCATTCAAAACGGAAATGGTTTCATTAAAACATTTCTTCATAATCCTCTTTAGTTGATGTGAGAGCTCATCATCATTCTACATGTTAGCTAGAGGTGGTACAGACCTCAGCTACTGTGCCGCAATACCTAAAGGAAAAGGAAAATAATACAACAGTTGCATATCAGCTGAGCTACCAGTAACGGATAGGCATCGTTCCGGTAAGCTACCAGACGGCTACTAGGCAAAAAGAAAAATTATTATGTAAAATCATATTGCGCTACAAAATGAGATCGTGGTTGGAGGGGGGTTAAAAGGCATGGGGAGGGACAAAGAAACTCACGGCAGGAACGCCACTGAGGTCGGATCCTTGCCGTGTCAGCAAATGTATCTAGCCAAACGTGTTCATCGTCTTTCGGACCCCAACCAGGGAGCCGAGACGCTCTAACCGACGCCCGCTTCGAAGTGAGCACCTTCATTCCTCTGGACCAAGTCATCGCTTGGCTAGCTCTCCTCTTCTTCCATCCACACCCAAGGCACGCAAATAACGCACCTCGTGGGAGTCATTGGGCTGGTATGCGTAACACGTGGCCGAGCCATCGGAGCCTAATGCGTGAAATAACGGTGCTGAGCGATTCAGTTCCTTTTTCTGTGCCGTAAACAAGACGTCGCACATGCTCGTTGCTCACGCGGTCTTCCCACCGGATGTGAGCCAAACTGCGAAGGCACCGATGGTCGAACGTAACTAGCCTCTTTATGTCCGCCAATCTTATGGACCAGGTTTCGCAACCGTACAGCAGGGTCGAACGTACTGCTGCATTGTACACTCTATCCTTCAAGGCAAGTGTGATGTCGCGCCGGCGCTATAGGTGGCGAAGGTTAACAAAAGCACTTCGAGCTTTTGCTATACGGTTCGTGATTTCGTCTTCGATCCCAGAGGCGCTGATACAACTTCCTAGGTAGTTGAATTGCTGATCGACTTCTAGATGCTCCTCACCAAGGATCAGCGCAGAAGGCGATCCCTGCCAATGTTGGAGGGAAGTTTTGTAGTTCGATGGTGCGAAGCAAAGCCCGAAGTGACGAACACTCAGTGCTAATCTTTCCAGTGCCGCTTGACACGTTTGTAAGCTGTCACAGATTAGGGCAATATCATCAGCATACTCTAAGTCAAGAAGTCGTTCTCCTGGGAGTAGCTCCACACCTAACTCATGTCCTGTAAATGCAATCTCCATGACTTCGTCAATAGCGAAGTTGAAGTGGAAAGGTGACAGCAAGCATCCTTGTCTCACGCCGCTGGAGATATTGAAGGGCGACGACAACTTGCCGTAAGCCCTCACTCTGCCCGAGCTACGCGCATATAATTTTCGGATAATATTCACATATTTCTCAGGTACACTTTTCTTGAGTAGATAGTCCCAAAGTGCATGTCCATCCACCGAATCGAGTGCACCTTTGATATCGAGGAACACGACAACGGTGGGCCGACAATATATGTGACAGTGCTCCAACAACTGACGCTAAGTGAAGACGTGGTCGATGCATCCACGACCTCGTCGAAACCCTGCTTGCTTCTCACGAATCTGGCTTTCACGAGTGCCAGTCAGTCTGTGAAGGATTATGGAGGCGATGGAGATCAGACTGATTCCTCTACGGTTACCGCATTCCGAACGCGAGCCTCCTTTGAAGATGGGAACAGTAATGGATCGGCTCCAGTCAGTTGGGACAGTTTCCTGCTCACGCAGTTTCACTAGTAGTTCATGTAAATCATCAACAAGAGCAGAGCCTCCGAATTTGAAAAGGGCTGGAGGAAGATCATCTGGTCCCGCGGCTTTATTCAACTTCAACAGTCCGATCTCACGTTCGACTTCTGAACGAGAGGGTGAATCCAAAGGGACAGCCCACGGAGCAGGGCGATCACTGGCCAGCGAAGAATTGAACAATTCTGTCCGATTAAATTGCTTTCAAAATGCTCAGCCCAACGCTCCAAACTTTTTGACAAATTGTGGACAGGCTGTTCACTCTCGTCACGTATAGTTTCACTAGCAGCAGGTCTCCTGCTGCCCATCTCCCGTATCAGGCGGAATGGTTACCAAGGGTAGCGGCCACTTCCGTCTCTGACGCACGGTGAGACCACCAAGGTTCGCGGTCTCTCTTCAGGCAACAAGGATTCTTGCCCGGAGCTCTTTGCTAGTTTTATTGTGTCCACTTCCAGCCGGGATATGCCAACGAGCATCGATTAGTTCCAGAGACCGCGAAGCGACCCAATGTCCATGTTGCCTATTAGACTAAGCACATGTGGATTTGCCTGCTGCTAGTAAGGTCTGGTAAACATGTGACCAGTGCCCTTCAATTGTCTCCAGTGAGCGCTTACTCCACTCGCATATCAGCGTAATTTGAAAGGCCTTCCGAACAGCTGGCTTTGTCAGTTGGCTGGTGTCAATGCGCTCACAACGTCGTAGGCGTCCGCCAAGACGTATCCGCATGTCAGCACATAGAAGTACACGGCCGGTGTCCACACATTTGCTCCAAATTGAGCGACAGTTCTGGATGCAGCCTCTCCAGCGGTAACTGATTGCAATGTGATCGATTTGCGTTCATAGCTGCTTCGAGACTGGTGGGCGCCAAGTCACCCTCCTGCGATTGCTGTGTCGGAAGTTAGTGCTCGCAAGAAATAGGCGGGCATCTTCACACAAATGAAATAACCGCTCATCGTTATCAGTACGGGAGCCTACACCGTGCTAACTGCCCAGATGCATTTCATCAGTGGACAACTTTCCAACTTGTGCGTTCAGATCCACCGCCAGCACAACAGTGTCCGTGCTTCTTCTGTGGCGAAGGAGCTGGGTCAGTTGGGGGTAGAAGTCTTTCATTACCGAGTCAACGCTAGAGTTTGTCGGTGCATAGGCAGCGATAACGAATGGACACCTATTAGTCCCGTGCGATTTCGAAGCTTTGAACGAGCCAGCCAATCGGACCGCACACATCCGGCTACTGATTGGAATCCAATCAACTAGAGCAGCTTCAGCTCGGGGACTCAGGACAATGCCAACACCAGCTTCGCCGGTGCCCTAAGCTGCATCGTCACCGGATAGGCGCAATGAAAAAATACTGATGGTGATCGCAGAGTGAGCACAGAGCTCGATTCTTGCAGGCAAGTCTCCGATAAGCAGCAGATATCGATCGAGAGGGTCTGCAATGTTCGGGCAAGTGCTACCTGGTGACCGATCTGTAGTAGTGTGCGTACATTGAGGCATGCCAATCTGAAGGAGGATCGAGGGCTCCACATGGAAGCCGATGAACTGGAATGGACAGCTTGGTTGAACATGGGTTTCTCGACAGGAGAGAGGTGATGCTCCGCGTTAGCATGTGACTTGCAATT